CTTTCTTGTGTATGTTTATATATGCCTATTAGAGTAGTTATGCTTATCTATGATTATAATAACATAAGAAAGTAGAGAAGAATACATATGTAGTAACGTGTCAGCATCAGATACTTTAAGAGGAGAATGGTGTAAGTGGAGTAGGAAATTTAAACAAAATTGAAAGCAAGCAAAACAGAAATCTCTGAACCTCTCATCTTAAAGATTTCTAATTCTTACATTCTTGAGATCCTCAACTCCATGAGAAGTGAGATCTGAAAACAAATAATAGCAATTCCTGCCCACTCATAGTCAGGTGTGCTTGGAGGCAGACTGCATTATCTACAATTCTAGCCTTTCCAGCAGAAGCTGTATAATAAACAGTTCCTGGGCTTCGGGTGGAGAATATTTTGGAGCAACCTGTTGACATGCTGATTGCCTTAGAGGAACAAATGTTGAGTGCAACCAGCCGCCAGCCACAATTATTACTCACTCCTTATCTGTCATTACTCTATCAATTCTCACCTACAATCTGGAGAAGATGTAGCAGAAGTTGTTCTCAAACCATTTTAGAGAACATGTTGGACTCAGAAAACTGAATGAAAAATTGGAAACACATTGGATTTATAAAAATGAACTATAAAATTTGGAATCATTTAGCTTAACCCATCTGTAATATGGCCAAGTTAATTCCCGTACTCCCATGGATAGCTATTTTGGTTAAGATCATACTCAGCCAGGCACCAGGGTGCATGCCTGTAATCCCAGTGACTTGGGAGGCTGAGGCAGGAGGAGTGCAAGTTCAAGGCCAGTCTGGGCAACTTAGGGAGACCCTGTCCCAAAATAAAAAAATACAAAGGGCTAGGTTTATGGCTCCGTGGTAAAGCCACTGGTACCCACCCACCCCCCAAAAGAGTTAATACTCATGTATGTAAGTGAAGCAAAAATTTTATGAAACAATAAAACACGCAACATACTTCAATATTTTCTGTTTTTTATTTTATTCTTTTAAAAAATGCTGATTATAATCCAAGAATGAGTCACAACTGCAGGTTGAAAAACTCTGAGGTAGAGCAGGGGTGTTAGTGGTATTTTAGCTTTGTGAATTTCCTCAAGGTCATATTTTTGTGTTACTTTTTGAAATTCTAAAATGATACATTTATAAGAGAACAGCATCTTTCAGCCCTCTATTGTACATTCTCTGGCAGTTCTGAATTAGAAACAGGGCAGACATTAAGGGGACCAGTGGCAAATTGGGGTAGCTCATATACAAAGTTCCTCCTAAACCATAAATTCATTTGTTATAGTCTTGCTTATTGATTTTTCAGTCTTTGCCATAGAACACTTTCTCTCAGATGAATTCTTCTTGGTTTCAATTTTTATTCAGCCTACTAAAGTTTGCTAATCTAAGAATCATGGATAAACAAGAAAACCCCTACCTCTGAGTACCTCTTAGATTAACAGAAGTAGACAGGTGTAATAGGATGGAAGTTTTTCCCACACTTTTTATCGGTGCACTATAGTTGTACATAATGACGGGATTCATTGTTATATATTTATACATGCACACAATATAGACTAGGACAGAATTTGGCTAATATCTCTCCTCTGTGTTTCCCCTTTTCTTCTCCACCACCCTCTTCCTGGTTCCTTTTCTCTATCCATCTCCCTTCGATTTTCAAAAGACCCCCCCCACACACACACCTTTCTTTTCTTTTTTCCTCTTTAGCTTCCACATATGAGAGAAAAACATACAATCCTTGACTTTCTGAGTTTGACTTAGTTTGCTTAGCATAATGTTCTCAAGTTCCATCAATTTTCCTGCAAATTACACAATTTCATTCTTCTTTATGGCTGAGTGAAACTCCACTCTGTGCATATACCACATTTTCTTATCCATTCCCCAACTGACACCTCGGCTGGTTATTGTGAGCTGTGCTCCTACAGGGTTGGCTGTTGAAAAGGGGAACACAGGTGGTGGCAGCAGAGAAAGATGTGACCAACTTTTCCTGGAGAAAGAGATGGCATTCCTGAAAGTGGGAACAGCATGCATCAAGGCACATCCATGAGGAGAATGTGCAGGTGCATCTGTCTAGAGTTTAGGAGAGCCTTGGGCAATGAGGCTAAGCAGAGGGAGAAGTTTGCAGAGGGTCTGCTGTGTATATCTGTAGGCCCCAAGAGCCACTCAGGTGACTGTGTTCTTACCAGGAAGCAGGAAGGGTTAGGTTCAGATTTTGGGGTCTCAGTCTTACTTCTTACCAACAGACTACAGAACTACCTAAAGTCTGGAATTGTCTTGCTGTCTGAATCCTCGTGCCTAGTACTGGGGTTGGCACGACTCAATGAACATTAGAGGAATGCCAGGTAATGAGCTACCCAGGCAGCACCTGGAAGGCCTCTGACCGAGCTCTAATCAGTAAGAGGAATAAGATAGAATTACAGCATTTTTTGGAGTAATTTAGCAAAGCAAGTATCTTTTACTAAGAACCCTTCAAAACTACTCTTCCTGGAAAGATGTTTCAAGTGAATCCATAACTTAAAGTGATCCTTATCTTGACTCCAGATCCTAAAGATAAGGAAAATGGAGACAAATAAAATATAGAAGTAGAAAATAAATTGACTTTTGATATACTGGTTTTAAAGTTCCCATGAATAACAACAACTTTACAATTATTTTTAATATCTTCATATAAGTATGAAAATCATCAAATAAATACTTTGAATGTTCGAGTTGGGTGAATCCTTTGAATTTATTCTGGTTCTTATCTTACAACTGAAGAGAGGGGATCTAAATAACTTCATGTGAGTTGCCCCAAATAATTTTCTACAGTTATAATCAGAGCATAATTGTGACATGTATGACTCAGAGCATATACTAGAGTATATGTCCCTTTAGTCTCTTAAAAATGTAAATGTGTTCAATGTTCATAAGCTCAATTCACAATAGCTAAGCAGTGGAACCAAACTAGGTGCCCTCAATAGATGAATGGATAAAGAAAATGTGGTACAGATACAGAAAGAATGAAATTATGGCATTTTCCAGTAAGTGGATGGAACTGGAGGCTATCATGCTAAGTGAAATAAGCCAATCTCAAAAAACCAAAGACTGAATGTTCTAATATGCATATGCTGACTCACAACAGGTGGGGTGGCACAGGGAGGTAGTGGAGGTCCACTGAATTGGACAGGGGGAAATGGGGGAAAGTGAAGGGCAGTGGGAATGGGAAAGACAGTAGAATGAATTGGACATAACTTCCTTATGTTCAAATATGAATATACAACCAGTGTAACTCCGTATCACGTACAAGAATGGGAAGTTATACTCCATGAATGTATGATATGACAAAATACTTTCTACCGTCATGTGTAACTAAAAAGAACAACTAAAAATATTTAAAAAATGCAAATGTGTTCTCATAATAAAATTTGTAGATCATACTGCTTCTATTTTTATATCTTGCCCTTTCACTTAATGTATTTTTGATGATTCTCCCCAAATCTTTGTTTTTCATATATAATCATTCATTTCTAAACAAAGGGAGTACATTCCAGGAAATGCATAGTTGGGTAATTTTGTAGATGTGTGAACATCCTGGAGTGTATACATACAATCTAAGATGGCTAGGTCATCAGCACTTGGCAAAATAATCTTGTGGGACTACATTATATATGAAGTCTGTCACTGGTCAAACTGTCATTATGTGGTAATGGATCATATTTGTTATTCACATATTCACAATATTTAAAGGCTACATAACATCTCATTGTGTGGATAAACTAATTTACTGATCTAGTTTTTGTTGTTATTAGAAATAAAATCTTTGCCTATAAATCATGGGGACTTCTCCCTGATTATATCTTTTTAAAAACTTTTTTAGTTGTAGGTGGACACAATGCCTTATATTTATTTATTCATTTTTATGTAGTGCTGAGGATAGAACCCGGTGTCTCACCCGAATTAGGTGAGCACTCTACCACTGAGCCGCAACCCCAGCTCCCTCTCCTTATATCTTATAGAAGGAATTATTGGTTTGGTCAAAGGGGATGGACATGTTCAAGGATTCTGATATATACCAAGTTGAATAGCCTAGGAAAGTTGTGCAGATTTTCTATAGTCTACATGTTATATGACTTTTGAAATCTTAGCAACTTGAGACCTCAAAGGTCAGTTATTACAGCTCATTTGAAGTTCAAATTGGTCTAGTTTAAATCATTTTGAAATACTAATAATCATTCTGCAACCATTAGTTTAAGAAGCCAAGAAGTCTTATTCCCAAGCTATAAATGAATCTTAAAAGCTAAAGAAGAAATGGGTAACTAAATGGCCAAAGATCAAATTAGAAAAGTCCAGGAGTTTTCCTGTAGGGGTCACTATTACTGTCTATTTATGCCTGCCATGAAACTCAGAGTCAAGCTTTTAAGAATGTATGCACACTCATTTTTAATGCCTGATTTGTCTACAGTTCCTCAACTGTAAAATAAATAAGACCTTGCAGCCAGAGAGCAGCATCATGCCAAGTTCTTTAAATTATGATACCACTCCACTCATATGCTTGAATTGATAAAATATATGTTACTCATACTTAAAGCACTTATGCCTGCTCTTTATAGAGGAAGCATTAGCTAATTGCCTAATGCCATAAAGTGTGTACATGGCATATGCTGACTTGAGAAGAAGGGATTCATCTGTTGCTGTGGCCAACAGAATCCCTTCCTCCACCTTCCCTTTTTCTGCCTCAAAATCTATACAGCCAAAAATCAGATGTTGTAACTTGACCTTGTCATTTCAGTTGCTCCGAGGTGCTTTATGATTTTTTATTAAGCCTGTTCAAACATGATGGGGACGTTCTAGGAGCAGGGCCAGTAGGGTTGTGCAGACACACCTTACCAAGGCGGCCGGGACACGGATTTTGCCAGGTGTGCCGGGAACGTGCCAGCCTTTCTACAAAACAGGAGTTTTTCCATCATAAAATGCAAAGCAGCCAGTGTTTTCCATGCCTCCCATCCTCAACCCCCCTCATCCGGTGCTCTAGGAAGAGCCGGGAGGATATTTACCCTGCACTCCTGCACTTTTAACTGAACCCAGTGGCGGCTGCCTTTCCCAGTGCAGAGCCAGCGGGCTCGGGCCCAGTCGCACTTGGCAGGCAGGCTGCCCAGCTGACCCGGGGCTGTAGTCAAGCCTGCGCAGGGCTGGGGTGTCGGGGAAGCGGAAGGAGCCTGTCTAGGAAACCCGAGTGTGTGTGGTGTATAGGTGTGTGCAAGCCTCAACTTCAGATCCGAGTAGAGACCTCAACCTCGCTCCTGGCGCGTGGGGTCCCGAAGCAGACTCTTGGCTGGGCCCCACTCCTTCTCCAGCCCGACGCCGCCGCAGCCTCCGCTGAGGCTGAGAGTTGGCGAAACTCACTCACCTGGCGGAACCCGGATCTGGCAGGAAGAAGGGCCTGGCGGCCGGAGCGTGCTGATTACAGCAACCTTGGCAGGCATCCCGACCCGCACCGGGACACCCGACCAGAAAGGCAGGTGTGAGGGCTGCTCCCGCCGACTCGAGCCCGCACTCTCCAGCTCCGCGGCCGCCCTCTTTTGCCCCCAGGTGCCATTGGTTCGGGGTGTCCCGAGGGCTTACTCCGGCAGACGCCAGGGCTGCAGGTTCGAGACGCTCCGCCTCCTCCCGCCACTTAGATCCACCAGCACCAGGAAGAACCTTTCCGTTCGGTCTTAGTCTGTGGTCACTGCTGAGGTTTACCGAACTTTCCAAGCAAGGGCCAGCCAGGTCCTTTGCCTCCACCTCAAGCCGCGCCTGCCGCTCGCCTGCGACACCTCTACGCCTGGGAGGTCCCACTCTCCCCTCCCGGCACCGAAACCCCAACTTTTTGTAAGCGATCTCCTTCGCCTAACTGGGTGTCCTGCTACTGTGCCAAAGAGCGCGCGCTTCTTCCCGGGGGCAGCAGTCTCCCAACCTCGCGGCTAAGCCCTTTTCCTCCTGGGATCAAGTGTGGTGCTGGGTGAGCCCGGACCCGGGGTGCGTTTAAGCGCTCCCAGCGCTCAGCATTCGCCCTTGCCTCAGATCTGACCCTTGAGGAGTGATTAAGCCCTCGAGGCCCAAGTTTCTTACTCCGAAACCTAAATCCGCCCAGGCGTTTTCTCTCCAAACTCTTGCTCCTGGCGCGGATTCACCCGGCGAGCTGCCCCGCTGAACTTAAGAGAGCGCAGGGAGACGTCGCCCCGTCGGGTGCTCAGCGCAGCATGGCTGGATGCTGCTGTCTGTCTGCAGAGGAGAAGGAATCGCAGCGCATTAGCGCTGAGATCGAGAGGCAGCTTCGCCGGGACAAAAAGGACGCGCGCCGCGAACTCAAGCTGCTGTTACTGGGTGAGTGGTTGCGTATCCCCCCAACCCCAGTGCACTGGGGGTTCCCCTCCCGGTCCCTTGGCTAGCCATATTCTAGTCGCGCCTGGAGCCCCTAGGGGTGCGGCACAGTTTCCTCATATTCCCTTCGGAATTTGAGGATGTCGGCAACTTGGGCCTTAGGCGCCAGTCCTTTGAACCTCTGGCCGGGCCACTTTTGAAAGTACCCTCTCACGACTTGGAAACAGGGCTGGGAAGTAACCGTTACCTCTGTCTGCTTTGTCCCATGGGTTTCAGTTTGCCTAAAACCTGGTCTATTCCTCAACCCCCAGCGCACAGCTTCTGCAGATCCCCAAGTTGGATGTCAGGGTTGGTAGCGGGGAAATTACTGACCCCCATCTTCTTCCCGGGGGCAGCAGTCTCCATAGTTCTGGTCTGCAATGTTTTCAATTCTAAATGAAATGCAGTGGACTGGGCACTTAACAAGTGCAGCCTCCAGCTAAGTTCTTACTGGCATAACCTAGTGATGTGGCCAGGCGCTAACCCCATTTTAGATAAGTATGGGAATTGGAAACCTGAGAAACTTGCCCTGAAACTAGCCCAATATCTCATTTGCCTAGTGATGGGGGTGAAGCCCATGTCCTTAGCGTCTTCTGATTCTTGTGACCTCCTTCATCCGCCTCCCACGAGTCTGTCTCCTTGGCGAGGCCTTTGTGCTTGCAGCAAACCCAAGCCTCCCCTGCCACTTTGGTTTGGCAATCAGCTTTGTCCTGGGGTTCAGCTTTGCAACCCCAGCCACTCTGCTAATTCTTCATCTGTCTTTGGTGTCTCTGCAAAGGTCTTTCAGAAATAGAAAGAAAACAGTTTAAGGAGACAAATTTTGCTATAAGGCAAGGACCCCACACCTTCTGATCTTCTAAAATTGCCATTCAATAAATTTACTGTGTGAAGAATATTTACTTTTTCCTTCTTTCATATCAAGATATCAATTTCCCCTCTAAATAGCCACAAGTATTTCACTGTACAGGAATCAGTACCTTTCATCCTCTGCTTGTTTATTCTTCTTTAAGTAGTCACTCTCCCTGAGAGCTTCAAGGAAAGACCGGTTGATCTAGTTAGCATAAAATAGAGGGCTTTTAGTCATACTGCTTTTGGACTAGGCAAAGAACCCCCCCCCCCCTCTACACACACACACACACACACACACATTTATCCTGGGTTTAGAGAGTCTGGCCTGGTTTACCCTCAGGCTGTGCCCTCCTCAAAGGGCTAAAAATCTGCTAGTCCAAGCAGGGTGGCCACCCACAGTCTACATTGCTCCCCTCCCTGATGAAAGTCCTGCATGGAATTCCCTGCCCCAAAGACCCCAAGCCTGCTGCTAGAGTCTGAGCCAGGAGAGACTGCAGGCCTGATCCCTGATTGCCCAAAGGGGCAGCTCTTTGCTAAAATTGTGGGGGAGCTTGAGAAGGTGGGTTAGGGGTCTCAGAAGACCCCCTTGAGGAGAGTGAGTCCGGGTGAAGAAAGAACAGACTGTCCATTGACCAGGGCTGTTCATTTATGTCTGGCCCAGAACTCTGAAGACTGAGAATTCAACATTGAACCTGGCCTTTGAGGATGTCAGAAAGGCAGATAAATTAGGGAGGAGGATTGTGGATTAACACTTTACAGTGATTGGCAGGCCCTCGTTTGTACTGGAGCCTTAGATCCTGAACATCGTAGGGGTAGTCATGGCCTTAGTTGCAGAGCTTTTGTTTTCAAGGGCAGGCTGAACCCTAGTTCATTTTGAAATGCTTAGATCTGTGTTAGTATATGAAGTGCAGTGTCTAGAATATACCAAGAGTTTGACAGATGCTGGCTGTTTATGTGAAAAGAATGTGCAGTCAGCTAAGCTATACTCTCTTGGTAATAAACCTATTCATTTGATATAAAATGCTTGCATTTGCACTCAGACTAGGGAAGAAATGTTTGTAGGTAAGTTCTTTGCCCCTGAGAGTTAAATTTAATCCAGGTAACTAGAGATCCTTCGCAACCCCCATGCTCTTGTCTGGCCCTTGCTCCACTCTCCAAACCCCTCAAGGCATTGCCTAATCTCCCTGGGCCCCTGTTTTCATCATTAGTACATCATCTCAGTGACCATTTTTCTATTAAAAATACAGTTTTCAAACCACATGGAGCTGTCCAGAACCCCCCAAATGAACTAAAAAACAATAACCTCTGATTTCTTTCAATCTTTAATTGTGGGGCACAGTCTGTTCTTCTCAAGATAAAGGAAAAGACAATGACTTGGATGATGCAAGGGTCAGGAAAGGGTATATGCTGTTTTGTTTGAAGTCATAGAGTTGGAGCAAAAGAATTACAATATTCTCTACAGTGGGTGAATTAGATCAGTCACTGTTTAAGTGTCTTAGATGAAAATCCCACTTTGCAAATGGGCATTTAGGATTGTGTATGAAGCATGGAATGTCCTGAAAAGCCACCAACTCTCTCACAATGAAGCATCGTTTTGCAACAAGGATAAGGATATTTTCCAAGTGTACTCAGTGGAGCAGTATCCTGACTGTGCTTAATAAAACATGGGTCACTGTCCAGTAGGGAAAGATAAAAACTGTTGTCTAGTAATTGTGAGATGCCAGTGTGAGACCTCATCTGGAGGAGATAAGGAAAGTAAAGAATATGGTTGAGTTTAGTAGTCAGAAATTCCTTATCAGTTCCTTGGACAAAGGTAGGATGGAAAGGAGTTCTGATAAGAACATTGATGGGTATTATTCAGTGTAGAAAGAAACTGCTCTGTAGCAAGGATGTGTGATCTTTTAGTGACTTAGTGTTGCTTGCTAATTGGGTTGAGTGCTTCCAGTAACTCTGACTGCAGACTTCATCTTGGAACTCTTTAGAAGGAGGGAAAATTGATATTTAACTTATGCTATTTGTATTAGTTTGCTATGGCTGTCATAATAGAACACCACGGTCTTGAATACTTAAGCAACTAAATTTTATCTTTTTACAATCTGGAGAATGAAAGTCTAAGATTAAGGTATCAGCAGGTTGGGTTTCTCTGGAATCCTCTCTCCCTGGCTTGCAGACAGCAGCCATCTCACCATGTCCTTGTGTGGCCTTTCCTCTGTGCAAGAACATCCTTGCCCTCTCTTTCTCTTCAGGGGTCACTAGTCCTTTTGAATTAGGGCCCTATTTGAAGGGACTCTTTATCTTAATCATCTTATCTCTACATACACCTACCTTCTAAAATACTGATATTTTAGAACTTCAACTTATGAGTTTTGGCAGGACAACATAATTTAGCCTATAACAACTGATATAGTGGTTGAAAATGTAGATTTTTAGGCCAATCTGTCTGGGTTCAAACCCTGGCTCTACCATTTCTTGGCTGTGGACTAACCTCTGGGATTTTGTTGGCAGTGAGTACTAAGTGTCAGCTATCATTGCTTCATTTTTAGTATTTTCCGGCTGAAATGAGGTGTCCTTTTCCAGTGTAGTTGACTAGTTATAGATCATGTAGCAGCTTGTCTAAATTTTCCTGTTAGTGATTTAGCAGAAATATTTTGCTATGAGTTTCTCCTAGGGTTTTCTGAGCAATAAGTTGATTTTTTAAAAAATTTCTCTTCCTACTTAAACCAAAGAGTTTAAAGTCTGTATCCCATAAAGTTTTATTGGATTAGTTATAACAAAATCTTTTAGAACTAGCTATCATGTTCTCCAGTGGGAAGTCCATTAGAGGAAATGGCACAGAAAATGTGGGTTTCTTGGTAGAAAGCGACAGATAATGTGCCCATGGTCATTCAGCTCAGACTAGTTCAATCCAACAGACTTTTCAAACATGCCAGGCATGGTTCTTAGTGTAGGGAATAATTTCCTAGGGCTGCATTGGAGGGGGCTAGTTCATACGTAGCTGTTGTAAGGTAGATGTTTATGAAAACTTAACAGAGATTAAGAGGTGGTACAAGCAGAGTAGGACTGGGGAGCTTCTGGATGAGGGATCATCTGAATTGGGCCTCAAAACACTGGGAGTGTAGGGTGCTAACAACCATCTACCTACTGTGGAGAAACTTGCAGACTCTCCCCACTTACCGAGGGAATTTTCTGAAATGGTAAGTGATGATCTCAGCCTCTGGGATAATATGAAGGAGTTCTTTACGGGCAAGATTTTGTTGAGTATTTGTATATTTTATCTTAACCGTGCATGTAAGTATTGTGTTCATTATGAAATGTTAATACAAAATGGTGAATTTCCCCCACAAAATTCTTCAGAAAGAGAGATTGTGTGGCTTTCTGTGTGTGTGCTTTGTCTTTATCTATGCTTATGTCCATCCTGGCTGGAATAAAACAGACCCGGCCAGTGGGCTGCTTCCATCCATGGCACAGCAGACCCTGGAGACCTCTCAAGAGGCAAAGCAAGCACCCCCTCTTCTTTCTGCCTTTAAATGCATTACAGAACACTTTGAAATAATGACCTTTTACCCTTTGTGCCTTTTCAAATAAATTTTGTTGATATTTTACATACTGTAAAAGATGCGGATCTTAGGTGTACAAATCGATGTGTTCAGTGCGTAGGCATAGTCATGCTCTAGAACATGTCCATCATCCCCTGTGACCTTTTGCAGTCATTCTCACCTCTCAAATCTTTCCTTTTAAACTCCTGATTTGGAACTATTTTCAAATGGCTACAAAAATAAGAATAAAAATATAAACTACACAGGAATACTCTTCCAAATTCACTGACTGTTGAATTTTTACCCCATTTTCTTTCTCATTCATGGGTTCTCTCAGTTTTTCTGAAATGTTCCAGGTTACATTATGTAGTGTGGCCTGTACTTCTAACTACTCCAGTGTGTTTTTTCTAAATATCTTACATGAGCATAGTCCACTTACAAAACTCCAGTAAACATATCCTGCATACAATGTGTGTGTGCAAACTATTCTCTATATCCCAGTTTGGGCAGTTGGCCCAAGAATGTCCTCAGTAGCATTTCCTTATCCACAGCCCATGGTCTAGTGTAGGCTCTGATGTT